CTTTAAGTTTAAAATGACATTTTTCGATTTTACATACATTAAAAAAATCTAACATGAAATAGAAGTGTAACTGTTATTAAATACACCAGTGACGAGCATTCAAAATTTGAATTTGTATAACTGAAAATAAGGAATTCCAATAAAAAATATTATATATCTACATATATACATAAAATATGTTATATCAAAATAAGTATGATGAAATAATAATCATAATAACAGTTTAATGATTCATTTATGAATTTACATTAATTTATTAAATTCTCATTTATTTTATAGTGTCTTTTTTAAAATGTATGTTATATTTGGGCTTCATTAATTTAATAATCTTTTAATTGCTTGTGTACTATTTTTCAATTTCATATCGTTTTTTTGAATGTCAATTTAATTAGTCAATTTATTACAGCTTTTAAAAAATGTAATTAAACACTGTTGAAGTGGCGCACTCCAGGCTCCATGTTGTTATAGCAGTTAGACGCAAGAGGACAGCACTGCGACATTAAACTGAATGTGATCCATAATACAAACACTACGACGAAGAAGAAGACAAACAGGAAGATGAAGGAAACAGCTGCTGACACATCCTAGGTATGCTAATAGTGATGATAAAAAAACACAACAGAATAGCTTCGTTATGTCGCCGCAACTGATTTAAAAGCAAAGAAACGCCTGTTTGGAAAGGGAAAATTGCAGTTTAATGTCTAACTGGATATGTTGGTCGTTGTTTTTAGCTGAATATTAGGAAAGTCCCTCCTGTTGTGGAGCGGGTATTAGCATATACGTGACACCGTGTTTAACGCTCAGTAAATAGCTCCTGTGTGGACAGGTCATTTACAGCCAGACGTCAGCTCAGGACTCATTCAATGCACCAGTCGGAGTTGTACATGTTTTATTTCCCGTCTTTTAATTTCACAGCGACACAGTGTCAGGAGACACATTTTAGAAACTGGTATTGTATTTATTTATGTAATGTTTTATAGATTATTTGTGCGCCGAATTTTTCAGTAAACCGTAATTATTCATAAACGAGAATAGGTTGTAACTAATTAGTGAGAAATGCTATTTAACTTTAAATTATGTAACATTTTAAAGGGAGTTTGGTGTAGTGCGCTTCTTTGAGGGTGATGCAGCATATATACAGTGTGGCTTGACGCCTGTATGTGGTCACGCCTTCAAGTTGTTGAATGGCAGTTTCACAGATGGGTGTTACAGCTGGGAAAATAAGTTGTGAAAAGGTCACTTGCATAAAACGTCATCATTATATGACAGCTATCAGCTTTATTTAAGACCTGAATCATTGTCTGTGTAGTCTGCAGTATCTCTTTTGTGGGGTGGAAAATTAGGGTGTAGCTTCAAGGAGTTACTGCACATTTTTAAAGTATGCCTTTGTCAATATATTCACTGTCTCGTTGATTTTATCTTTTATTTTTCAGCAGGTTCTATGCTTCAGCTAAGGACCTCTGCAGAAGAAGAAGAAAGTAGTCATGAAATTTCCCAGCTCAGACAGGCTGTGTTAGAAAACAATGACAGACTCCTCGATGAGATGCTCTGCCAAGAAGTCTACAAAAAGGTCATCAACTGCAGGGGAGGCTGGGGCATTGCAGGCACGCCTCTCCATGCTGCAGTGTCCAAAGGCCATTTCAGCTGTCTGCAGGTTCTGCTAAGCCACGGCGCTCTGGTAGACTGCGTGGATGTCAAGGCTCAGACGCCTCTCTTTGCAGCCGTTCGTGGGAAATATCTGGACTGTGTGTTAGCGCTGCTCAGAGCTGGCGCCAACCCCAACGGGAACTCATCCAACAACTGCTCCCCCGTCCTCACTGCTGCTCGAGAGGGTGATGTAGAGATTTTAAAGGAACTGCTTAAACATGGCGCCGAGGTGAACTCCCGCTCCAAAGTGTTGCTCTGGACTTCCAGTGCCAGGGTTTCCAGTGGGCCGCTGTACCTGGCTGCCGTTTACGGACACATGGAGTGTTTCAAACTGCTGCTGCTCTACGGGGCAGACCCAGATTACAACTGCACAGATGCAAAGCTGCTGAGTTCTATTAAGCAGCCCAAAACTGTGCTGGAGATGTGCCTCAGGCATGGCTGTGGCGTGGAGTACATCCAGCTTCTGATCGACTTTGGCGCGAACGTCTACCTCCCTACGCTGATCATTGAGAAGTCCACGAAGCAGAACGAGGCTGTGGAGCTGCTTCTGCACGAGAGAGGTATCAAGTCTAATTGCACATGATGTGACTGGATGGTGCCGTGCTCCTGTAATATGAGGCATTTCTGCTACGTGGTATCATGATATGACGGTATATCAGTGTATTAAGAAATCCTGATTAAATGATTTTCAATACAATCAAAGATACAGATGCTCCAAACTATTAAACTCACATGGAGATGCTGTATTGAGGATGTGTAGTGCACAGCATGTGCCACCAGAGGTCAGTCTCTGCTGCTGGAATTAGGTGCAACAGGCAGCTGGGCTGACAGACGTGGCAACTGTCAGTGGTGGGGATAACATTTCAGCACTGGCAGAGAGACACAGTGGGGACTAACAACATATTTTCAAATCTGATTCTGCGAATTAAGGGTATATTTCGACAGTGTACACAAATACCATCCTACTGTATACCCCATTGAAATTTTAGGAAGGTATAAATATAAATATATGAAAAAGTAGATACTGCCTAAGCCTTATGTCTGCCTCAAACAGGAAGTTATGCAGCAACTGGAAGTTTTGAACAGATTGAATCACAACAAAATTATACTGAAGGCCACTGCATTCTCACTGAAGTTGGGCAGTTGCACATAATCTTGAGATTTACATTTATAAACAGTTTGTTGGATTTTATGGAATGTAATTTCTGAATATTTTTATAATAAGTTTCCCATAAAGGACAGTGTAATTTGGGGCCTATTATAGGGAAATTAAAAACAGTTTTCA